GCAGCTTTTGTTTCTGTTTCTAATTTTGCTTTGCACGATTAGTTTCAGTAATAAAAATAAATACCTCTCATCCAAATATCATGTGCACATCTTTTAAATTTATACACTTCAATCAAAGCTTGCATTTCCAARAGACAAAGCTGACGTTTTCAGGAAATCCCCACTGATCTCTGCCCAGTGACTCACTTACTGCTTAGAATTACAAGTGAACATTTACTCTTAGCTGAAGTTTTACCCTTCCATCTCATTTGGACAAACCTACCCAGACAGTTTTCAAATTCTGGAAGACCCACATTCCAAATTTAGAAAATTCTGTATTTTTCTAACACTAAAAATTGGTGCAAATTAATTTGCATCTATGCATGGACAGGCCAGTGAGTATCTACACACAAGAACAAAGTGACTTACTCAGGAACCCAAGAAATTCAATTATAAAAGCAAACTGGGCTGATATGGAATGGCCTGGAAGAGACACCAACCCCACACATTTGCCTCACCAGTGCTCAGATGGAAGSACACTTTAACCCATCATGACAACTGCCAGGCACCAATTACCAGCTCCTGGAGAAGCTGGGATTGCTGTACATTTTTAGCCTCGTGTGCCACAATTATGTCTTTAAGCTTGTCAATATTAAATCCTTTTTCAAGGTCCCATCCCCCAGCCAGAAGCACTGAGTGTTAAAGYTTGAAGAAAAAGCAGCAGCTTTTTCTTTTCCTGGTGCAAGGACAGCTAATCCAAGGAGAAATGGCTTGCTAATAGTTTACAACATGATGATTTAGAGCAAACCATGAATAAGAGCWTTTTAACTTAATGCCAAACTGCAAMAGTCCAATATTGTTGACATAAACAGCACCTGTGCACAGATGACTCTGGCAGGAATCCCATCAGCTATCCCAAGCTATGCCCKTTCTCCTCACCAATTACAGTTCAGAGAATGATATTTGAGTTGACAATTTCCACAAAATCCCTAGAAAACAGCTGTTCTTAAATGCTTGAATTATTTCTACACCATTTTTTTTTATCACTACAGGAAACCAGAGACTTGATCAGTCATGTCTGGCCTCTGCTAGGCTTGCACAAAGCACAAGTCTCAACACACTCAGGTATGTTGTACTTGCAAATACTACATTTATTTGAAAAATACATCAGAAGCCATCTATCAAATCACAGAATTCTCTAATTGCTTTGTATTTTTATRTATAAATCCTCCAAGTTAGGCAATAAACCTATAAGTGTTTGTATTAGCCTCTTCTCGCACCCATCTTTAACCAAATTGACTTAGAATTATTCCTGTATCTTAAAACACCAATTGAGCAATATCTCAGGAAAACAACATTTGCAGATTACCAAACAGCACTAACTTTGTGGAAACATTTAAGAGGACATTATGTGCAAACCTAGTAAATTCTTGGAAATTCATTCTTAGAAAAATGTTACTTTTGCCCTTAAAAGAAGGACTTYTGTGAAACAGATACCAACTCAAGAGCACTTAACTGAGTAATTAAGTAGATAGTTATGAGGCAAAGTATTAACAAAAATCCATGGAGAATGTTCTGTTAAGAAGGCTTAGGGAAAGGGATCTGCATCTGTCTTCTCCAATCAGAAAATGTTTTGCCTTCCATCTAATTATTTTTTTAAAAATCATAAAGAATGAATGCTGCAGTCCAAAAAGCTAAGCTTGGTGCTGCTTCCTAGAAGCCTTAGGATAAGGATTTGATTCAGAAGCCAAATTTATTTTCTTCTAAAAACATTGTTTTGAAGAATGGTTGTAATGAGGAAATTCCAGATACTGGGTTCTGCAGAGTATAAAGAACAAAACAGGTGAGAGGAGAGARACAAGGAGAGGGAGAAATCCCAGCTGAACTGGAAAGAGTAGTTGAAGCTGAAACCTCAAGAACTGCCAGCATGCCCTGAAGAATTTAGGAAGTTGCTCAAAGTAGGAAGTTCCTGAAGTAAATCATCCTAGAGAAGGCAAATGTGCCCCAAGGCCAGGCAATTCCTACCTAAGAAATCTGGCCAAGATGTCAGGCACATCACAYGATTCCCTGCGGAGCTCCAAAATGAGCTAAGGAATTGTAACACCTCCACAATGGGAATCATTTCAACAGAAAATGAGAATTTTCATGGAATTTACTTTTACCACCTTCGACAAACATCTTTGCCATAACCATACCTGAACCTCCCTTTTGCCAAAGGCAGTTACAGCCTTATTCATCCCTACTTTTGTGTTTAACACAGTTGTACAGAGAAATAAGCTGGGATGAGGGGAACAGAACATGCCATGAACCTCACAGTATCAACCTCAAGGCTGAAGGAGGGTTTCCCATGCTTGGGCTGAAGATTTTCTCTACCCTAATACAAAAACAATTCCTTAACAGAGATGATCTTCTTTCACTGGAATAATTGCCCTGGACGAACCCCAGCAGTGCACAAAGCACCAATGGTACAAGACATTTTTATATTGAGATGGCTCAGGTCACCTCCCCTTTAGGAGTAACTGAAAGTGAAAAGCTCCTCCCCAACCCATCACATCCACAACAGAGCTGCACTTGGTTTTCTTTCTTTTGAATCAGAAAGGAGCAGTTGAGGAGTTTTCAATGCAGCTTCTGCATGAACTTCTCCAAGACCAGTCCTGTACCTTGTTTCGTTGAAGATGATGAATTCCAGAGATCTGTCTTTTGTTTCTTTTTCTGATTATCGTTGTCCACATGAATATGTACCTGTAGGAAAGTAACAAAGATTTCCAGCAATGGCTACAGAAATAAACTTGGCAATTCATCCCTCAAAAAAACTGGCCCATGTTAATGTAATTAGTGTTCCTTTTATAGTGCTAGTAAGGTTGTATTATTTCCTGTCTCTTTTCTATTTTGATTCCAGTCTTTCATAACTTTCTGAGAAGGAACAAAAAAGGTCTATCATCATTCAACTAGTCATTTTTGAGTCAAATAATGGGAGYAGCTTTTCATGGGCTGACCTGAGCAGAGGCCAAGAACCCAATTATTTGGGTATTTCCACCAGCATGAACCGCACAGATTAAATGTAGAACACTATTGTGGTGGAAAGATTTGCTTCATTTGGCAACAAAAATAGTATAAAGTCTTAATATGGTATCTAGAAAAAGATCTCTTCCTAAAATTCATCATAACATACCCCGTAAATTCCACACTCTAAATAAATTAAAATAACTTCACAGAGGTTCACTGGTTCTGTTGCACTTGCTTGTCACTGGGCTAAACTAAAAACAGATTACTGGAAGAACACATCAATTCTTGCTTAATATCAAATATAAAATTTTTCTGAAATTCCCATTTGCTGCACTTTCGTAATTTAATTTACAAGTTTATTTTAAAATTRTTGTGTTTCTATTCAGAATCTAAATTAAATACAGTTCCTTTGGTGGTTTTTTTCTCTCTCTGTAATCAAGATCATCATTTGCTGTACTATCCACATCCTTCCAAGTCTTCGATCCACTAAGCACAGACATGAAATGCCATGAGGAAAAACGCAGCACACAAAGGCTCCCATACCTTGTAATATTTAGATATTGCCTGAGGTGGCAGGAACCCTGTTGTGCCTCCTTCTGGGGGATCGATGCTGAACACTGTCTGGAAAACAGAGAGAAACAGAATCCAGAATTAATCAGGTTGGAAATGACCTCTAAGGTCATTGTGTCCAACCTGTGAAATCCTCACCTTGTCAACCAGATCAGAGCACTGAGTGCCACATCCAGTCGTTCCTTGAATGCCTTCAGGGATGAAAACTCCACCACCTCCCTGGGCAGCCCCTTCCAATGCCAGACCAGCCTTTTCATAAAAAAAATCCTCCCATGTCCAACCTGAACCTCCCTTCACAGAACTCCAGGCCGTTTCTTCTCATCCTGGGAGCAGAGCCTGACCCCCACCTGGCTCCAACCTCTTTTTGGGGAGTTGTGAGAGTGAGAAGCTCCCCYCTGAGCCTCCTTTTCTCCAGGCTAAGCCCTGCCCAGCTCCTTCAGCCACTCATGGTACTTCAGCCCCTTCTCCAGCTCCATTCCCTTCCCTGGACTTGCTCCAGCCTCTCAGTGTCCTTGAAGTGAGTGGCCCAGAACTTCACACAGGACTTGAGGTGAGRCCTCAGCATTGCCCAGSACAGAGGGACAATCACCTCCCTGGTCCTGCTGRCCACATTATTTTTGATACATACATACACATACGTATTTTTGATTTTTGCTTCCAGTAAAATACCTAAAAATCTCAGTGTCTTTGCACTGAGAAGTGTCTCCACAAAAGTTACTGCTGTGATAACCTTAAATTTATTTCCTTACTCCTGCTATCAAATAAGATAGAGAACCTTGAATAAACACAGTTCTTCCAGGTAACTCCTGCTACCCACAATGATGCTTTCATTGTTCCAAAAACTGCAAGCCAGGATCTAAATATACTTAAATTATACAAATGAAAACATTATTATTCACACTGTTCATGACTGTGGCTGTGGATAACCAAATACACTCATAAGAACAGTCACAACCAAGCATAAAAGAACACTTTCCATTAAAATTTCATGTTCCATTAAAATTTCATCCTTGATCCCTCTGCTAATAACACTCTGCTTAGAAAAATAATCAAGTTGTAATCATAACTAATTGTCCATATATTAAATGAAAAGTTCTATCAACAGAGTCATGCTTTTTTCCTCTTTTCCTGTATGTGATGTCTCATAGCTACAGATGATGCCCTTTAAAACATAAGGCATCCCAGTGCAACTTCAATGAAAACAGCTGTAGTTCTCAAATATTTACAAYTCTGTTCATTTTTCTAAACAAAATTTCTCCAGACATTGAAAGGAATTACCCAAGCTCCTAAGAGTATCAGCTAGTTGCATCAAGATGTTCTCCAGCAATTTTAAAAAAAGTACAATTCCGGGAAATATTTACTTCTGAAAACCAGCCAAAGATATGGTGTACAAAAGAGATTTTGGTAASCGTTCTTTGAAAAGGAACAAAAAAAATTACTATTAATTAAAACAAGCTGGTGATAAATTAAGACTCCAARACAAGGCTCTGCAAACAGCAAACACTGTGTTGACCCAAAAAAACTCTGTCCTGGTCCTACTATCTCAAGATGGCAAACTATCACCTGGCAGATCCTTTGCTGTAACTGTCCATTTGCATGTCCCCAGCAGCAGAAAAGGGATTGGAGTTTTCTCCTCTAAATCCAAATCTCTTTTTATCTATCCACAGCCTAAAAGAGCACACACAAACAATTATCCCCAGTCATGGAGAACAGTCCACAGGGATCAGGAGACCTGGCTTTATTTCAGAATTTTCTCATCTCTCAGCTTTGAAACCCTGAGAAACTAATTTAAACTCAGTTCACCTGACCTTCCCTTCAGAACACAGACATCTCCCAGTACAAACCATTTTGGTACCAGTGTACACAAATTGCTACTACTGTACTGGAACACTCAGAAGTTTTGTTTAACCACTGCTACAAAAATGAAATGCTGTGTATGCCACTGTGAATACACCTTCATGAACATCCATGCATTCAGAGTTCAGTATTGCAAACCTGCCAGAACCATTCAAAACACACCCAGGTAACTTGTCTTCATCATGCAAGTCTGGAAAGTTTGAATATATTTCTTCATTTTCTGTTTYAAACAGGGTGTAATTCTCTGCTGCCCTTTTGGACATGTATATTGTACAGATTATAGGCTCACTRTACCTGCTAATTTTATGGGACTCAGGATTTTCATAAGCAAAGCTTTGGAAGCACCTAACAGGGAGAGGAATGAAAACATCACAGGGATACCCACAAGTGTCACATTCAGTTTCTATGCAACTGGAAAGATTTTTGGTTAAGATATCTCATAAGTTAATAATTAAATGAAAAAAAAACCAGTTAAATTAACTTTTGTCTGTTTTTTTCCTTAGTCTGTCCTGTTATTTCATTAGATGGTCTCACAATCACAGACACTGCTGCAAACAAGTTCAATGACCCAGCTCCACCTGGTGGAGGTTAAACCCAGCCAAAATTTAAATCCAGCATCTCCAAAAATGGAGATCAGAGCTGCAAAACAACAACCTGGGTAAAAATTAAATTAGACCGTCCCATCAGGCAGTTTTCTCCTCAAAAAYTATACACCTGCACAAGTGTACACAACAGGAATAAAATGGATCCCACATATTTCCACACCTTTTAAACCAACTCTCCTATTCTTCAGATATTTATAGAAGCAGCATGAATTATTTACCTGGATAATATTTGAGAGCTTATGCAATCCAGATGTATTGATAAATACCCCAGTACCTGGAGAGAGCAACACAAGATTACTCTTAAAACACAAATATTCATCTTCTTGTATATATCCACACCTTATCTGAACAGCTCAAAACACTGAATACAATGATCTGAAAASAGTCTCTGAAACAAATAATTTATTTCAAGCTTTTCATCTTTATTCAAGATGCAAAGAGAAAGATAAAACTGGCATTCTACATCTGACATACTGGGAGAAGCTGTCACCTGAGAAAATTGCATACACTTCTTAAAGCTCCTGTGCATCAAAAATGGGAAAGCAGCTAATTAAAGCAGCAATTAGAGGAGCAGTTAAAAGAACATATGAAATACATTGATGGTAGGGATTTGGCAGCAGAAATGATCAACAGATGCACCTGTCAGGCCAGAATGCAAACAGCCTAAAAGGGGAAAGATGCTGGGCGAAGAAAAAGGAAGRGTGGATGTTTGCCCAAGGATGCCCTCACAGAACTCACAGTCTCTATTCTAGTCCCATCAATGCTTTTTCTGAAGAGTCTGCGGGTAAGAACTAAATCATTTTCTTTACACATGCAGAAGTCRGAGAATATTCTTACAGAAGGTAAATTAAAAACAAGATGCTGACAGATATTAGAACAGAAGCTTGTTAAATCTAAAGGGAAAAAACTCAACATATTATGTGATTCTCCATATTCCTATTTTTTAACTCCAGGACCAGGGAAAAACTTAAGACACTTAAAGTACCATCAGCAAAATGCCAACAAGCTTCACCCCACAATCCATCTGGTTTTGGAGAAAAAYAGTGTCTGTGCAAAAATCCTCTATGTATGTACATGGGTACACACACCCAGGTTTTGACACAAAGTACTTCTCAAAATTAGTTCAGTTACATGAACAGACATAAAATATGTTTCCCAGAAGAGGATCCTGCAAGTCTTAATAAAAAGGAAAGTACTCAAGGTCATATTTTAGCTTTTAAAAGCTTAATAATTTGATTCTCTCCCCTAACAGTACAAATTTCCAGTTACTTACACTACAGAGGAAAGTCTGAGTGAAACAACTGAAAAGTTCATGCACTTACGGTTTGAAAGAAACTGTAAAATCTGCTCCAGTGACTCCAAGAGGAAGGATTTGGTCTGGAATGTTATTTGGGCCTTTGCAAACAGATCAAAGATGTAGCTGCAATTTACAAAGAAAAAGCAGAAATGGGTAAACACTGTAAAGAATCAAATGGGTACAAATAATGTTATGCTTTCATAACAACAATTTCACCATCAAATAGCAAAACATGTTTCTGTCTCCATGAGAAAGAAAAATATACAAGAATAAAAATAAAWWCTTGCTTATAAAGACARTGGACAATACTGACATGGCAGAAARCACAGATCACRTCATTCCCTTTTTCCATCATTCCWCTCCAACACACAAACCATACTAATTTAGAAGCAGTGTGGCATGCAATTTCCATGATTTTTCTTTTTTTATCATGTACAACATGCACCATTTTAGAAATGGGCTTCCATAGCTCAGAGGTACCTCAGACACATCACTGCAGCACTGATATCTCTGCTTAAATCATGACACAAAATTGAAAGAAGCACAGTGAGAAGCTTCTTSCAGCTCAGAAAAACCAAGGCATACACCCAGCAGAGGATTTTCCACTCTTGAAATACTTCAAAAGGGAGTCCCACCAGAAATAATGATTATTACAGACAGGGATTTTAAGGAACTTTGAATAAATACCATTCCCAGAAACCAGAACAGTGCCATAACCCCTAGAGCTGACCCAGCTCCACCTGGGTCTACAATTTGCTGTATTTTTAACATTTAAACACATTAATGAGAAGGTATTTACCTTCCCTCTTTGGTGACTCCACTCCTACTTGGTGGCAGCTCCACTGCATCAATAGCACTTTCAAGCTGAAGAAGAATTTCTTTAGAGGAAGCAAGAGGAAAAAGTTAGGGTGCACAGAAAGTCATGTCTGGGACACATGTAAGTCTTTTTCAAATGTACTTTATTACAAATGCTTTAACCAAAGAGAGCAGCCCAGCTGTTCTCTTGAGTTTATAAACAAACCAAAATTATCAAAACTGACTTCCTGTATGTCAACTTTAAACATTCATATTCAACTCTAAGAACTTCCATGACCTCAATTCCTAGATGAAGCTGAAGTCAGCAGCTAATGTTAAACTCTTCTTTACAGAAAGAGAAAGTTGTTCTTGGAAATTCTTTGTAAACATGAGACATCTCAAACTCTTGCTGTTAACTTCAGGTACTATCATGTTCTGAAAGCAGAATGATGCAATTGGTGCAATTCCAGCACACTGACAAGATCAGAAAACACAGGAACTTCTAACAAAGAAGGAAAAAACATYCATCTGCCAAATCTCTCTTCTTGGGAAAAAACTAATTAAATATTCCACAAAATTCCAGGGAAAAGCCAGACAAGCCTCTATGAATGTCTCAGTTATAGGCAATGTCTATGGAAATGCTACTTGATTTATGATTGCTGACCTTTCGTAACTGTTTCCACAACAATTTTCAACACAAAAAAAAAGCTTACTCTTGATCTTTGCTATATCTTCCAGTTCCATGCTTAGTCCTGTTGAAAAAATGAAAGATTTCAAAGAGATTGGTTTGGGGTTTTTTTCACACCTATTTCATTCCCAGTTTCTTTATGCCTTTCCAGAAATTATGGGGGRGCTATGAAGATTAAAATTGTGTGCATGGAAAAGTATTTTCTGTGTTCCCATCACTGCTCTCTTTTGCAACCCCTGCCGTCACATTGGTTTGATTGCATCTTTCTGTGTCTGGCAACAATTACTAACCAACAATAATTCATTTACTAAAAAGAGTGTAAATTTCCCAGAAACTTTCCCTGAAAGTTATTTTCCAGTTCTTGGTAGTGACACTTTATAATCCCAGAGAAACAGTGATTTGTCATTGTCAACACACCTGAACTGGTCAACTCCATGTTGAATTCAGCATTGATTTCATTCTGTTGTACCACTTTGGCTTGTTCCTCCAGGACAACATTTATTGCATCCATTGCTGAAGCCAARTCATAGGGAGTCAAGTCAAAAGAAGTGGACTCCTCACACAACTTCTCCTAAAAAAAAAAAAAAGGAATGGAAGAATTATTCTGACCACTCCATGTGCTGTTTGCTCAGGCAGTTTCAGACATGAGGAAGTCCAGATGGCCAGGCTTGATTTAATTTCTGGYCTCCAACTCAGGCCAGGGGATATTTTATAAACAGCTGAAAACTTTGACTATTACTAAGCATCATTTCTTCTGAGATGAAGAACAAAATCTGCCTCTTCCACATTATCAACATTCTAGGGGTACAGATAGTAATTGCCTGATGCTCAAGCAGGAGTTTTTTTACTTAGAGAATTGCTTTGTTCTTCAAAAAAGCTATTTCTATACTTTCTACTAAAAAAGTAGTTATGATTTAAACACTCCAAATTAATAAGTTGGACAAAACTTTCTCTGACTTTGAAAAAYAAGTCACGTATTGCTTTGCTAGAAATTTTCATTCACAAGAAGAATCATGTTCCGTAAGGAATGAAGATAAATAGTAAGGGCTTACCTACATAAATATTTGACTGTAATAGCTATGAAGAAATAAGTTATAAAGAAAAAAAAAAAGAAGTTGAGCCTGCTGCATGTTCACTAATGCATGTGCACCACTGCAGTATAATCAGAAAATCAATTTTATTTCAGGGTAATCACTAAGTTWCCACCTGGAACAGACAGCACCATCAGAGAACGATTGCAAAACAGGAAACTGTTCTGGCTAATTTCTGCATGCAGGCAWCAATTAGTACTTCTTACACACTACAAAGGGAAAAACAAATCCAAACCCCAAAMAACTATGACAGGATTTCCACACATTTTTCAACAGAAAAAGAGATGTTCTGATGAAAGGAGCAAATCCTGAATGCAACCATGCAAATCTCTTAAGTGAAGCAGAGCAGACCCGGGTGGCTGTTTACTGAAAGGACACCAGGCACTCAGACAACAAACCACAGCTGTTCAGCAGAAATCCCACTGGGAGGCTTTTTGTGTGGCAAAGAAAGGGACATATTTCAAATGTTCCTTTGCATTTCATCATTTAGGCAAAGGACTCAGTTTCAAGCCAGCAAAAAGAAGAACTAAGAAGAACTCATAATACAGCATTATTTTTTTTTTTTCTTCTTTGAGTGAAGACTTGGAAATATTACAAAAGCCCTGTTTGCCATCTACTGCACTTGGGAGAGCTGATGTAGCTGAACTTCAAGAACAGACCTTTCATGATTTTTTACACAGCATTTTCTTGCAAGTCTCCAAGAAAATAAGCACCTCATAAATCTGGAGATGTACCCTTTAGAAAGAAACTAGCACCTTGCAAAAAATCAGCAGCCAATGGACTGTTAATTAAACTACAAGGATTTAACTGTCACAGAAACAAGAAATGCTCWTGATAATGAATATTAATAACATACATGTGAGTACAGATTTTACAATCTGTTTGTAATAGGACACGGGTCTGTTTTATTCTTTGGATGAAGGGTGAAAAATGGCACRGAACAACTTACCACATTGTGAGCTTCATCAAGTATTAACACAGTTCCCTTCAGATCCAAGTTGTGTGATTTCCTGCTCTAAAGACAAAAAACAGAACAAGGAAATTAACAAATAGGCCACTGAGAAATATGGATTTGATTGGCTGAGAAATTGGATTATGAGATATATTTGGAGTTTTATCTATTTTGAAGYTGGCCTGGTTCTTCCCTTAGAGAAAATACCAAGTAATGGCTGTGGCTACCCAATGCAGAAACCACAAAATCATTTTCTCAAGAAATAAAGGTGCTAAAATGTATCCTGTAAAAGTTGACAGAGGTCACAACTTGTAATAAAGAAAAAAAAAAAACCCAGACTGGGATGCACCAGTTTAACAGAATTTGTTTCAGTAACTATTTTTAGCAATAGAGATCTGGGAGAAGYGGGGTGTGAAGCAGGGGATTTGCCTTTTATTTACAGATTTATGCTTGTGTTGTCTTTGCAAGTGGCTGTKCTAAAAACACCCTCGCCAGTACCACATCATTTCACAATGCTTGTCTGTTTATGGGGCTTAAGAGATTTATTTTTTAAGTTTATTAAACATTTGGTTTTTCTGCAGCAGTAGAGTATAGTCTGGCTGTTACTATAATTCATGAATTATTCCAAGTTGCATGAAGATGTCAGCACATTTGTTTGCTCAAYAGTTTTCAAAGTTTTCATTTTCTATCCATAAAAACCAGACAACTTATTACAACTGTTGGTACACAAAGCCAGTAATTATTTCCAATGGGTAAGTCCAATCACTTTTGAAAGCATCCTTATTCTAAAAATCATGCAGCTGCTGCAGAAACAAAAATGCCTCAGAATRCATGCAAAAATATTGCACAGTGTGTGATGGAAATCTATCAGGATTTGTCAGGTGCACCACGTTCTGCAGAGCTAGCTCTACACATATAGAAAAATCTCAGACCAAGAATTTTTTTTTTAACTGTGGGAAAGAATTTACAGAGAAAAGCCCAAAATTGCATCCTCTATGGTCCTGAACTCAAACTGGCATTTGATCAGTTTTGAAGCACACATAATGCATCCACTTGCTAGGCATCCTTTTTCACTGCTTATCCACCAAAAGCCAACACAAGACAAACAGAAAAACAACTGCATTTGAAAGCAAAGACAAGTATTACCTTTGAGTCTAATAAATAGTTGTAAGGYGTAAAGATAATGTCTGCTTGCTGCTTCAGGCTTCGAGAGAGATAATAAGGACAAGTTCTGTTAAAAAAGAAAAAACAGTACAAATTATAATATTTGCAGAAAGATTAAGAGAGTTTTCAACATTCATGTTCTATGATATACAAAGGGATTAATAGAAGTGAACAGAGAAACAGTTTTCATTATTTTCACAAGTCAGGGGGAGAAAGGTCAGAGGGGATCATTCACCTGTGYTTGCTTCCATTCTTAACCAAGTCTTCAATATCCATGATTGATTCCATCAGTTCTTTGTCTGTACTCTTTTCTGTAAAAGATGACATTAAAATCACCAGCTTAGGTGAAGGCATCACAGAAAGATTTGTTGTTACCCTGATCATCCCACTCATTCAATTAATATTTCATTCTTGAAAGACAGTAATAGAGAAAAACACACACACACGCAGGTGGATTCTGCCAACTCTTCCAAACCTCTCTACCTGCCTAGCAAATCTCTCCCTATCCAAAAAATAGGGTTTAGTTTCCAGGTGAAGTTAAGGTAAGCCACACCCACCTTCCACATTGTAATAGAAATGACAAGAACGAGCCATCACTTTYGTTCGGCACATGTAGATCTGTAAAACAAAGCCTATTTTAGCCCAGAGCAGCACAGCTTGTCAAGCACTGAAATCAGGTTAAGGGGTGAAATCAGTTCTCTCTAACACCAGCTAATGAATAAAGGCTAATCACAGTTATTCAGCTTTACAATCACAAGTCCTTGTGCTCTTTTTTTGCAGCACAGAACACTCAGATGCTCAGAGAAAAATGTGTTATATTTTACTATTAATACTTTTCAAAACAGTAACCTTTGATATTGTAAAAGTAACAACTCAATAATTGAAGCAATATTTTGAAATTATTATTATTGCCCTTGACAAATAGTTAAATGGCAGATGAGAAAGTAAACTACAGATTATTAACTGCCATGTTCTACAAAGTGACATCCGTCTCTGGATGGAAAATATCACCAGAGACTCAGAATTATGTCTTGCACCCACAAAACTGAAAACTAAACATTCCTTGAAACACATTTATGACTACTGTGTTTCCCTGCAGCCTCTTGTAGTTAAACCATRTCAGAGTGAAGAATAACACACAAATGACACAAAAAAACCTCCATGTGCTCCCTGAACATCCTGTCCAGGCTCTGATCTCACCTGCATGTGGTTGCTCTCCTGTCGCTTCACTTCAGGATTGATGCAGAGCTGCTCCCTGGATCCCAGCACRCAGATCTTTGGCCTGGATATACAAAACTGATGTTAAAAATAAGGCAAGAAAGAACAGAGTTGTACATGCTTAGATTCAATACATCAAAAAAAAAATGTAAGAATCAGGAGAAACAGATGAGCTYAAAGCAAGGGGCAGAGCCTGAACAAGTAAATTGGTCTGTCTGTATCTGCTGTGTGTGTTATTGGACTTTGAGGCACAGCATTTCTGCTGGCAGCAGTGGGTGTTAATAAGCAGCAGCAGCAGCTCACAGTGAGAAGTCACAAGGAGCAATTTACACCATTCACCACAAAATCTGGGTCCTGTTATGACAGCTCAGCCCAGTCAGCTGGGGCCTRTCATTCATTACAAACTCTTCCCAGCTGGTTGTGATGTGCAGAGTAAAGTTAGAACAGAATTGATTCACTACAAACATTCACAATGGTTTGGGGTTTTTTTTTGCTTATTACAAAGTTGTATCTTTACAAGAACTACATAAATCACTCCTGCCTGTGCAAAGAGCTCAACCACACTTGGCAAGTGATCAGCTGAAAATTGTGACAGGCGTTAGTATAACAAAATCACAAAGTCCTTCACAGATTTACAGCAGCCTGAGAAACTCAACTTGGAATGGCCTCACACTGCCTTAAAAATGTCCCAGGAAAAAATATAAAGGAAGAAAATAAAGAAAAAAATAGAATTCTGTAAGTTAATGTGTCAAGTAAAGAACAAAACCCAGGCCAAATTCAGACAACTCCATGATTGAAGGAGATAAGAAAAGCTGTGAAAGTATTAAAATGAACCAAACAACAAAGAAAACCAGGTTCTAAGCACGCACATTAAAGGAACTACATTTCTCTGAATATCATCTTTTATGCATTCATCCACAGAAGTTCAAACAATGGCTACACCAGATGGGTTTCTCTACCTTTTCTCTGAATAAGGACACCACCCTAAATCATACTCACCTGTACACTGTGTTCTTTAGCTCRTTAATGACCTGTGTGAGCTGGGAGTGAGTTCTGGAGGCATAAATTATTTTTGGAATGTCACTGTAATAGGCTGCCAAACAGAAGAGGAAAAAAGCAGAAAGACATTATGAGCATGGAAAGGAGAACCAGGGATATTCTTAGCCTCCTTCCCCAGCTGGTACTATGGTAACAGTTTGCCTTGTAGAGACAGCAGGAAATTTTTTCATCTAACTATTCACACACACAAAATGAGGTAAATTAGCTTCTAAGAAACTACAGAACTAAATGAGCTCCAAGAAAAAAATGGAACTATATAAAACACCTCAAAAATCTATAAAATGGTGAAAATGTGCTTAAGCTGCTCAACAATAGCTCTGTAACTTTTAGAGCTGTATATTTATTACAAAAGACAGATTAAAGCAAATGTTGATTAACTTCCCTGAGTGCAGAGATGGTAGTGGTACTCACTTGGGACATCTCCATCTGTGGCAGCAGCACCCCAGGAGGACAGARGTCTGTCAGGAAAGAGCTCCAACCCCTTCATGCGCTGGGCAATTTTCTGGGCTGAGATGGTGTCCTTAAAGTGCTCCCGCCAGGCCAGGGTGGAACACAGCAGGCAGAGGGTCTTTCCTGTGCCTGTAGGGCTCTCCAAAATGCCATTTACCTTCTTTATTGGAGAAAAACAAGAGTGTTTGGGGTGTCAGTAGGTCTTGGGGCAGTACTGCATGTGATCTGCAAAGGAGCAAACACCACTGGCAGCCCCACCAAGGRACAGCCACACATGAGATCTTACCAATGCACAACCTGTAGGATCCTCTAATTAACTTAATGGGGCTCAATCAAAAACCCAGAGCCAGCCATCACACTTACTTAGCAGAGGAATTCAATTCTCCACTCTTAGAGCAATTGGAGTGTGTCCCACTTGAGCATAAAATACACAAAAATGTGAKAAGTTATTGAAAAAAAGCAACCCAGAAAGTGACTCCCAGATAACAGTGCTGGTTTCCTTTAGGATTAAGATTATATCCCACATCATTTTGGGCAAAGAACTTTGCCAGCACTCGGAACATCCCGTCCTACTGGATGTTACAATTTTAAAAAGTGTGAACATACTATAAACTGCAAAAMAGTGGCAGCTGAGCTCAAGTGTATGAAAGCAATTTAAACAGATAATGASCTCACAACACTCTGAGTTTTATAAGAGGAGGCACCAAGCAGATACCACGATGCAGAGGAATGCAGAGACAGGAGGAAAGCCAAAGTTCCCACAATAAGCTTGTTTGGTATCTCAGAAGAAAAGGGACCATAAACATGTGTTAATCAACAGAAAAGAGGATAATAAAAACCATTTTATTATTTTGACATTCATTCAGGATTATCCTCTCACAGAGAAAACACAGAATTATACAAACAGCCCAAATATGAACAAGACAAAAAACCAAATCTTTACTATGAGGAAAGGCTAAGGGWATTGAGATTGTTCAGACTAGAGACAAGAAGACTCTAAGGTGACCTAATTGGGGTCATTCAGTACCTGAAGGGGACATTTTACAAGGGCCTGGAGTGACAGGAAAAGCAGGAATGGTTTCAAACTGACATAGAGTAGGATTAGATTGGGCGTCAGGAAGAAATTGTTCCCTGTGAGGGATGTGAGGCCCTGGCACAGGTTGCCCAGAGAGGCTGTGGCTGCCCCATCCCTGGCAGTGTCCAAGGCCAGGTTGGACGGGGCTTGGAGCACCCTGGGATAGTGGAACATGTCCCTGTTCCAACACAGGTGGAAATCGACCCAAACCACTGCCAAGATGGCAGAACTCACCCACCTTCTGCAGGCATTCCAGCACCTTGGACATGTAGGCTTTCTGGCATGGGTAGGGCTGGAAGGGGAAATCCACCGTGATCCCGTTCAGAGTGATCCTGGGCATGGCTCCCTGAGGTGCCTGCAAGGAAGCACAGACTGTGACTGACTCTGCAATCATGGTGGTGACATGACATGACAGAATCACAGAATGGTCTGGGCTGGAAGAGACCTCAAAGTTCACCTCATTCCAATCCCTCCCATGGTCAGGGACATCTCCCACTATCCCAGGTTGCTCCAAGCCCTTTCCAACCAGGCCTTGGATACTTCCAGGGATGGGGCAGCCACAGCTTCTCTGCGCAGCCTGTACCAATGCCGTCACCACTCTCACAAGGAAGAATTTCTTCCCAATATCCCATCTAACCCTGCCCTCTGTCCGGCTGAAGCCATTCCCCCTTATCCTGTCACTCCAAGCTCTTATAAACAGGCTCCTCCATCTTTCTTGTCGGCTCCATSAGGAACTGGACAGGGCAATTAGGTCACACCGCTTCGTGACGAGCTGGTTCCAGCGGGTACCGCAGGAGGCTCACGGCCACTCGGGGCCCGGTCCCCGTTCCCGGGCTGCCGGACCGCACCGCCCGTGTTCCCGCGTTCCCGCGTTCCCGCGCTCCCGGGTCCCCACATTCCCAGATCCCTGCGCTCTCGGGTTCCCAGGTCCCCGCGTTCCCCTGTTCCTGTGCTCCAGTGCTCGGGCGTTCCCAGCTCCCGCTATTCCGCTATTCCCGGTATTCCCGCTATTCCCGCTATTCCCGGTATTCCCGCTATTCCCGCTATTCCCGGAGCTCCCTCACCTCCCGCTCCGCCGTTCGGAATCCCCGCGCCCTGGTCACGTGACGCGTCCCACGTTCTGTGCGTCACTTCCGGCGGGCGCTCTCGCGAGAGCGGCGGCGTTGCCCGGGTAACGGGCCGGGGCGCGGTGCAATGGCGGCCCGGGCTGGGATCCCGGTGCAGCCCAGACCGGGGAATCGGGGCCCGAGCGGGGCTGGGGACTGGTGTCATCTCATGAGGRGCCCTGGGCAGGAGCGGCTCAACCYCGGTKGSGTTTATGCCCTGGCCAGTCTGAGGGAAGCGGACCCCAGACCGGCCCTGGGTGGTGCAGCCGGAGGGTTCCGTAGCCGCTTTTCCCGGGGCGGAGGCCGAGGTTCGGCCCTGCAGAGGCGGAATATCGGCGGTTGTCTCGCTAAAAGCTGCATTTCCAAAGCCTCCCAGCCCTGTCCGTGTTCCCCGCGCCAGGGCCGCCTGGGCTGGTGTTTCTGCCCTTTGGAACGGCTCGGGAGCGTTTTGATAAGCGATGCCCTTGGCCAGAGCTTGTCCCCAGGCCCTGCTGTGCTTTGTGCAGGGATCTGCCACCCTGGGGCGGTGCTGCACGGGGGAGAGGGYAGAACGCGGCGGGATTCTTTGTGAAACCCTCGGCGTTTGAGGTGGGAGGGTTCTGTGGCTTTGTGYTGAGCCTCGTAGCTCCCGCGTTAGGAACGGTAATGAATTCTGACGGGTCTCTTTTGTTAGGGGTGAATTTGCCGTGCCTTTGTTCCCGGCTTTCTTCAGCGCGGTGTTCCCACCCTTCGGTCCCCTGTCAGTGTGTCCAGGCACATCCAGGAGCGGCTGTGTCGGCATTCCAGGTACTCGAGCAGCCGAGGATTGGTTCCACATGCGTGTGATTGCAGTGAATTGCTCTGGATTGATGGATTACCCACTTTTGTAAGAATCTGCTTTTAATAAATGCATAGGCATGGTTTACCTGGATCGCCAAACTTTGTRAAACTATGTTTTATGCAGGTATATATGAGACAGCAGGCAGGAARAAAATAATTTGAACTCTGTGGTTTGATGCTGTTTCTCACACTGTCGGTCACCACATAGATGTAGCACAGGATGTGGCTTTTTTAATTCTCACTTTAAAATGCTTTATTCCTGGCCAGCTGCACAGCTTGTTTGTGTGTAGAACAGTTCTGATGTTAAAAGGAACAGACTTTGAACTATGTAAATTAAACATTGTATCACCTGTTCCCAAATTTGCTGCACCTTCTGTGTTGTGGTGTTGGATCAGGGGAGCTCATGGGTGTTGCTGTTTTGGTCACCARCCTTTAAATTACTTGAGCTGAACTTCATTGGATTATAAACTGTCTTTAATTTTAGGGAATGGGCTGGAAAACACTGATTTATTCTTCTGGATCTTCATGTGCTCCACCCAATATGTAACAGCTGTTTTTGCTCATGTTTCTGACTGTGAACTCTTTCCTGTCATACCAGTTGTGTACAATTAAGCTATGAAAGGAATTAATTTGTAAAGATTGTAAAATGAGAGTGTGGGATAACWTTAGGGGTGAATGAAGGTTTAAAACACCTCAGAAATACATGGAATACCATGTTTTTATTATTTTCTATAAATAGATCTTTCCTACAMGGAAGAACAATATCAATAGTGTGTCGAGAAGGATTATTTTGCCTTGCTGTTGATAGGAGCAGTGTCACCTGCTGAGAGAGGGGAGCTGGAAGGTGACCAGCCCTGGAAGGARTGGGCTGTGAGTCAGCAGGTGCTGTGTCCAGCAGCAAACATGAGTCAGCACCGGCCGCTCCGCAGCTCCTGGAGGCTGCTCCTCTGCACCAGTGACCTCACCTGACCAGGGCTGCAGGCTGCCTCCAGCATTGCTGTCTTTCTAAAAACAGAGCAGGGGAAAYGGGTTGTAAGTTTAAARAGAAAAATGTATTTCTTGTTAARGTTGTGAAAGAATTGTGAAGGTTTAGTGAAGGTGCTGCAGCATCTGTCAGGATAAAAATGGAATAAATAAAGGTGTTTCTCTTAAATAGGGTTGTCATCTTGGTGTTTGTCTCTCTATGATAAACCCTGAATTCTTCTATAGCAGGAGTTTGGAGAGGGAGGAGAGATTTCAAAAATGTCAGAGCAGCAGACAGAGTTGTGTGACAGCCCCTCACCAGCCTGTCCCTGCCAGCCCAGCCAGGAGGAACCAGCCCMTTTCCACCACTTGCTCTTTAGTGGATGGTGAAGATCTTGGATGAACTATTTTTCATTTTCAARGAAAAAATACACAAAATAAAAACCTTGGAAAAGATGATCCTTAACCTCTGTGGGGAAGTGACTGAACCACACCACAGAGACCCCAGCAAGGGGAATACTGGTGCTGTGCAGATGTGTAAAGTGAATAATGTTTGTGCAGAGACCGCCCAGGCAGGATCTCTCTTCCCAAAAAACATCCAGACGCTGCCAGACAAGCAGGAATCTTCAGGAATGGGACAAAAGAGYCACAAGGGTTGATTGAAACTTCTGTGGTTGGCATGAAGGTTATTTTCCCCTTTTCAGATAGGGAAGGGTTAAATTGCTATTWGTTGTCTTTCTGAGTCTAAAACTTCTGTTTGCCCCCCAAAATTGAGTTCTTTTAATCCTGATAGTCCAGGGCCTTACAGTCCATTTACTGTTTTTAACTTTCCACCTTGACACTCCAAACCATTTGTTCCCCATTTCTCACACYGTGTATTCCAGTGGGACACATGGCCATGCACCTTGAAAGCATTCCATACCCTCTCCTTAATGAAAGGAATAAAATRTATACTAGATTGATGCCAAAAGATCCAGAATGTTGCAAAATGGAGCCAGACCCTCTTGGGACTGCTGGGAATATCAAAGCCAGAGCTCATSCTGAACAGAAGGGAGAAATTATTCCAGCAGCCAGGTGCCTGGGATGGCTGCCTTCCTCTGGTCATGGCAAAGGTGTTTTTGAAACACACACAAGATAAGTTGTCAAATCCTAGAGATTCAATCCGAGGAGAAAGTAGAGGGAGCTGGAACTACAAAACAAGCCTTGGACAGAACAGGAAGTAGTTAAAGGTCATAAAAAATGCTCCTCTTGCAAACACACATTGAAAATGTGTGGATAGGGTTAATTTTATTCTGAATTCAGTTTATTTTCTCTATTTTTCTTCCAGAATAGTGTAGAAAGAGTAGGACACTGTGAGATAGGGGAAAAACCAGGAAAAAAGGAAAATCTCTGTTTTTCTAGCTAAATTTGGTAGGCAGTGCCTGTGGTTTCTGCCCCTGAGCAAGCCAGAGCACTGGCAGCTCCTCCAACAACCTGTAGTTCCCTGTAGCAGCTGGAATTGTTTGGGAGTGTCTGCATTGCAGCGTGCCGGGAGATGTGTGGGTCTGGGAGGATTCCTTGCTCCCAAGTGTGTGATTGATGCTCTAAAAGCCCAGAAGCATTGGCCCCTGGCAACAGCCACAAATGGAAATTATAGAAATTATAGAAAACAGAAAGAAAATTATAAGGAAAGAGGTACTGATGTCTGGGGTGGGGGAAAAACCCAGGGAATTCTCACTGAAATCAAAAGGCTCCATTCTGCTCTTTCTCCTCTACTTTTACAGCAGTTTCCTCCCCAAACTGCAGGTCCTTTAGTGCCTCAGTGCTGGTGCAAAAAAAAAAAAAAAAAAAAAAAAAAAAAAAAAAAAAAATCCCATGCCTAAAAACGAGTCTGGGATCCCTCCTCCCGTCTCTGTTTGCCTAAAGCTGCTGCAAGGTTTGGGGTTTGGGTTTTGCMCCTCAGCCCAGTCAARCCAGACCCCGACCTGGCCCTTCAGGTGAGGCTGCCTTGGAATGGATGTTAAAAAAAAAATCTATTATTTTGCTTAACTCTGTTTTCAGCATGGGGAAAAAGCAGTTTAGCCATCTCGAGCAGACAAGAAAGGGAGGAAGAGGAGGAAAAAATCCTCTTTTGCCAGCGCCCGGCTGGGTGTGTCTCGCCCCCCCGCCGTGGGGCTGTGTTCCTGGCAGGCAGGCTTGCCTGGGAGGGATCTGCCGTCAAAGCCACCCAGGAAAGGAGGCCTGATACGCTCATTAATATTCTGAACTAGTGACCCTTCTTTTTCTTTCCACCCCTCGCCTTTCTCTGGGCTCTCCAGCCTCTCCCCGCCGCGGATGGCTGCAGCCCCCTCCAGCTGAGTCAGTCCTCCCTCCCCGCAGCATTGCAGCACCTCCGCAGCTCCTGCGCTCCTTCCTGCTCCTGCAGCACCGCTCCGCTCCCGCCGCAGCATGGCCAGCACCGTCTCAGGTAGGACAGGCAGCTTCTCGGGGGCTTGACATCAATGCGCTTCTAAAACCATCAGGGTTTATGTATTTTTTTTTTTTTTATCATTATTCTGAAGGTTTGGGTTGTTTTTTTTTTCCCCCCCGTGGGTTTCGGGGGAGTTCTGTGCTGAGGAGGCAGCTGGTATGGCAGCATTGTTCCCCTTCCTCCCCCATACACACACCCCTCTGATGCAAGATAGCAGGTGGGCTTTTTATTTTAATATGAATACACATGTGATAAACTTGCCAATTTAAAATATTGCTGCCATTTCATTGTGCCATTGGAAGATGCTGCTACATGCCAATTAAATATTATTTTTGTAACGTGGTAGAGCTTTTTTTTTCCACCCTAAGAAAAAAACCTGCACGCTGTGTAGATGGATGTGAGGAAATCAGAAATTACATTTTGTCTTGTGAAGATCATGTATTGCCTAAATGGGTAACGGAAAGGAAGACATGGACAAGAGTCAGTAATGCCCTAGAAAATCCCCCAAAGCCAACCAGAAAAATCTGGCTGGGTTTTTTGTGCATTCCTAGGGCTCCCCAGCCCCAGATTTTTTGCACAGCTCACATTTCTTGGTTAGAAGATGCTACTGGGGAGCGGTCCTCTGATGGCGCTGGGTGAAATGAGATGCTGCAAGGGAAGCCCTTCCTCCCTCCTGCAGCAGTGCCGGGAATCACAGCGTGGCTGCCCGGGAGCCTGGTCGGGTTTGGCTGCAGGATGGCAGCCCGAGGATGCTGTGCTGCTTCGGTCC